AAATAAGAAACTTTATAGATAAGTACTAGATTTGGAAAGTATGTGTCTGAGCGAGTAAGAAGCTCGTAGGACCTTTCCAGACGAGGATACGATTTCTCTCGATTTTTTCATGCAATCAAATTCTTTCAGATTTTAGCTTCAGACTTTATGTGAAACAGATTTGGAGTAGATATTTCGATGCATTTTTGTAAAATGCTTTGCTCTTACGTACAGTACTCTCATGGTTCTTGGGGTTCGTTTGGTAGCCGTGCCATAGCAAACAAAAAACGACATTATTTTCTTGAACCTGTTAACATGGTGAGTAATAAATACCATCAACATAGCTAATGAAAACAAAAATAATAGTGACAATGTTAAGGATAATAATAATGATGATAATAGTAGATAATAACAGTAATGGTAATAACAAAAAGAATAACAAAACATAGCAACAGAGCATGATAATAGCAATAGTAGTAGAGTAGTAACAATAAACCAATAGCGATATGCAAGTTCGAGATTGTCATGCAACATGTAATAAGACTTATGACTCTCTTCGTCTTTGAACAACGATGTCTATTCATCTACAAATCGTTCTCACTCAAACAACATTCTGACTAACCCCTAAATTATTCACAGATTGAAATTCAGATTCCTCTAGAAACTGCTGACTGATACAACCATAAATAGCATCGTAAGAAATTTTTGGAGCTCCCACGTGTCTAATCTAAGCTAGATAGATACCTTCCCTACACCCGCTTAATGTGCAGATTCGGAAGAAATTACTGAAAAAGAGTTTGCGTTCAGACGCAAAGTGCAAGCTCTCTGGGCTTACGCAGCTGGATAAAACTAAAATCATTCCCCAAATTCGACAGTATTAGCAAATCTGCATAGGGGACTGGTCTATGTCCACACAATGGCAACCTTCAATAGTGTTTTTTTTTCTGTTAAAGCATGATATGCAAATGACTTGAACTACGAAGACCCAAAGGAGTGCAATTTGCGAGGGAAGGAGGATACTCCTATTCAAAACACACTCAGTCCGCAGTACAAAATTTAAATACGCAGTGTGATGAGCTATATCAAGATATGGGCAAAGTACCCTGATTTCGCGCGTAGAAAGCGCACTTTTTCAATTTTTTAAGCAAGTATCATAGCCGCTTTGCAGAATTCGGGAAACAAAACTTATGCCGTATTATGCTCTCAAGCAATACGCAGCATTAGATAGAGTCCTTTGGTCGCGCAGTACTTTGCCATGTTTGGAGTAGTCGATTTTACAAAAAATCTCCCGCGTCTTCCACGCGTAAAATTAGGGTAATCCGATTAGAATGGCGAATTACGGAATATTCAAACACTTAGAGATTCTTTAGTAAATATGCAGTACAACAGATCAGAAAGAAGAAAATACCAACACTTGAGAAGAAGCGGCACACACTTCAAAGCAAAAGTTTTGTTCAGTGTTGGATTACGTAAATGATATAAACATAAGAATCATCGACTGATAAGCCCCAACTTCTGCCTATTTTGAAAATAATATTCAGAACTTTAGCTTTTCTTTGTTGACCCAAGAGCATGTTTACAAGCAGACATCAGCTTTTGTCTCTAGATTATGTCACAAAGCCGAAAAGACCGATAAGAGACCCAAAGTAAGC